TAGCAGTAGCAGTAGTAGTAGTAGTAGTAATAGTAGTAGTAGTAGTAGCAGTAGCAGTAGCAGTAGCAGTAGTAGTAGTAGTAGTAATAGTAGTAGTAGTAGTAGTAGTAGTAGTAGTAGTAGTAGTAGTAGTAGTAGTAGTAGTAGTAACAGTCGTAGAACTATGAGTAGTAGCCTTTTAGTCGTAGGGCTCCAAGAGTGCCCCAAGAGGCAAAGATCGTACCAGCTCTTTGGGTAAGAGCAGATGTTTAGCACGTTCGTCTCATCGACCCTAACAGCGCCCAAGAGGCCCAACGTATTGCCTCTAGACGGGGCCAGGGGCCCCCAAGATGGCCCCCAAACGGCTTAATTGACGCCTAAGAGTGCCCGAGGACTCCCGACCACCAAAACAATCTTCAGCTATGACCATGGCATGCCTTCCTCTCCTAATCATGACCACCACATCATTTATCGTAGTTCTCCTTCTTCTCCTCCTTCGCCTCCTCCTCCATATTGCCCTTCATCCTCCTCCTCCTCATCCTCCTCCCCATTGCCCCTCAGTTTCCTCTAGCATCTCCTCCCCCTCAAGCCTCCTCCTCATCTTCTTCTCATGCTGCTGCTGCTCCTCATCCTCATCGTTCTCGTCCTCCTCCTCCTCCTCCTACCCTGGCTCCTCATCATCATCCTCATCGTTTTTATCTCATCCTCTTGCACCTCCTCCCATCATGTTGCTCCTCCTCGTCCTCCTCGTTCTCATCCGGCTCATCTCATCGTTATCTTCCTCATCCCGCTCGTCCCCTTCGTCCTCATCAACAATCCTCCTCTTCATCATCACCCTCGTCCGCATCACGACTCATCGCCCTCTTCCCCTCATGTTCCTCCTCCAGCTCTCTCTCCTCCTCCTGATTCTCATCATCGTAATCCCAATTATCATCGTCGTCATCACCGTTGTCGTAGTCGCCGTCACCACCACCATCATCAGCGTCGTCTTCATCCTCATCATCATCATCATCATCATCATCATCATCATCATCATTATCATCATCATCACCATCATCATCATCAGCGTCGTGTTCATCATCATCATCCTCACCATCATGATAATCACCATCGTCATCATCATCATCAGCATCAGCCTCAGCATCAATATCATCATCGCCACCAGCATCATCATCATCCTCGTCCGACTCATCCTCCTAACTCTCGTCCTCCATATCCTCCCGTGGAAACGCTTTTGCGAACGAGGTTGGGCAGCGAAAGTCGCCAAGGATGGCCGCCGAAGAGGTAAGCAGGCAAGGATACCCTTAGAAAGGTTGCCCATCCTTATTCTGCGAGTTGGCTGTGCCCCAAGTGGCGGCGCGGTGTTTGGTGGTTGGTGTTTGGGGTCTGGTGCTTGGTGTTTGGGGTTTGGGGTTTGGCGTTTGGTGTTTGGCGTTTGGTGTCTGGTGTTTGGTGATTGATGTTGGGTGATTGGTGTTTGGCGTTTGTGTTTGGTGTTTGGTGTTTGGTGTTTGGGGTCTGGTGTTTGGGATTTGGTGTTTGGTGTTTGGGGTTGGGGGTTTGGGGGTTGGGGGTTGGGGGTTGGGATCTGGTGTTTGGTGTTTGGTGTTTATTGTTTGGTGTTTGGTGTTTGGTGTTTGGGGTGTTTTTTTGGGGGGGGGAGGTGGAAAACCTGTAAGGGTCTCACCCGGAGAAGTAACCGATCCGGCATTTTGCTATCTTAACCCGGAGGAGTAGCCCGTGACCCTTTTTCCGGAGAATGTTTTTGTTTCCCGCGAGGGCGTAAAGGGATCCCCGCCCCGATTTCGCTGCCCCCAGCCAGGCTGGGGTCGCTCCCCCCTTTTCCTTGCATGTGAATGGGGTCGCCCCCCCTTAACAGCTTAAGTTTGTGCCTCCTCCTCCTCGATCCTCCTCCGTCCTCCTCCTGCTCATTCCTCCTCCTCATTCCTCCTCCTCCTCCTCCTCCTCCTCCTCCCTCCCCATCCTCCTCCCTCCCCATCCTCCTCCTCCTCCTCCCCCACATCCTCCCCCACCTCCTCCTCCTCCTCCTCCTCCTCCTCCTCCACCTCCTCCTCCTCCTCCTCCTCCTCCACCTCCTCCTCCTCCTCCTCCTCGAGTCTTGAGAGGCAGGGCCCCCGCGGCGGCGACCGACCAGGGCCCGCCCCAAGAGCCCTTTGGCTCGAGCCGCCCCCGCGCGGCGCGCGCCGCGCCGGCCCCCGACCCGGCCTTCGTCGCCGGCGGGCCGGGCTGCGGCGGCCGCCACCGCGATGATCAATGCGGAGGAGGGGCGGCCTCTCCGCGGGGCACGGCCTTGGCACACACACACACACACACACACACACACACACAGCACACACACACACACACACACACACACACACACACACACACACACACACACACACACACACACGCACACACACACACACACACACACACACACACACACACACACACACACACACACACACATACGCACACACACACACATACGCACACGCACACGCACACGCTCACGCACACGCACACGCACACGCACACGCGCACACGCGCACGCACACGCACACACGCACACGCGCACGCACACGCACACACACGACGGTCCTTGTCCGAGCCCCCCCGGGTTGCGGTAACGATCGTGCGTAGGGGTTGGCAGTCCCCAAACGTGGTGGTGACAACACCTGGCGGTGAGTCTCGGGCGATTCGGTGTTACCACCCACTTTGGGGATTCGTGTGGTCCTTCGGGGATGTCCCGAACGTTGGCGGGCCCAGGAGGCACAAGACCCGCAGTGACCCCGTGACCCAAAACCCGGCGGTGACTTTTTGGGGCTTCCAGGTCACCTTGATATCTCGCCACCTGGTTTGGGGGCTCCCAAAGGTCAGGAGGAAAAACACACACAGACACAATTAATCGTCGATTCCTGGGAAAATATGGGAAGCTATGGGAAGTTTGGGGGAAGACGAACACACAGAACATATGGATAATATTGGAAATCCTGGGATTTTTTTTGTGTGTGTGTCCTTGGGCCCCTTGAAAAGGGGGCGGGCCCAGGGACACACAAAGAAATGCACACAAACAACAGGACTCCCCATATTCTGTCATATGTTCTGCGTTTTCGTCTGCCACCCCACTTCCCAGATTTCCCCATCTTTTCCTGGGAGTCGACGCTGCCTTGTGTCTGTGTGTGTGTTTCTCTCCCGCTTGACGTGTGGGGTCGGGCCGCTTCGGCCTCGGACTCAAAGCCCGGGTGGTCGGGCCAGATCGAGTGGGGCCGTGAGCAGCCGTGGAGGGCCGCCGCGACACGGCGGCAGCGGGCGCGGGGCGCGCCGGGACGGCGGCCAAGACGTGTGGTATGAGGGAACCCTGACTCCTGATCCGCCCTACTTTGGGCGATTTCGAAAGTAGGGCGGAAATTTCCGCCCTACTTTTGAGGCCCCTTTGAGCGTCGATTTCCGCCCATGAGGCTCCTTTGGCGTCGATTTCCGACACAATTCTAGGTCGGAAAATCATCCAAAGTACGGCGGATCAGGAGCCAGGGAAGGGAGCCCTCGGGGATCGAGGTTGGAGCCATGTTTGGCCTCCTGGGCGTCCCTCGCCGCCGCAGCTGGGCGCTTCTTGCAGAGCTAGCCGAGACGGACCCTGGGAGGGGCCTCCACGGGGCTCCGGGACCGTCAACGGAACGATGCAGGGTAAAAAACTGTTCGTTGGGGAAGCCCCTGGGTCTAGAGCCCTTTTCTCTGAGGACCCTTTTCCGTCATGGCCAACCCGGAGCAGAGGTTAGGTCAGGCCTGTCACCGTACAAGCGGATTTTGGGCGAAAAATTTAAAAGACTCCAGAAATACACCCAAATAGCCAAAAGAATGCCCCCCAAATCATCCCCAGACTATCGGTGGACTATTTTTGAACATTCCTCCCGTGCAGAGAGGGGCAGGCCCGACTTACGTCTAGGGCCCTTGTCTCCGAGGGCCCCTCGTCCGTCATGGCCAACCTGGAGCAGAGCGGCCGGAGGATGGCACCGCACCGCCTGTGCATCGGCCACTTGGCCCCCTGACGTCCGAGCCCCTCGCATAGCTCGGGTTCGGGGGACAAGCCTCCCGTTAGCAAACCACCCTTTGGTGGAAACGGCCTGGGACCGAAACCGGCGGAGGAGGAGGAGGAGGAGGAGGAGGAGGAGGAGGAGGAGGAGGAGGAGGAGGAGGAGGAGATGGAGGAGGAGGAGGAGGAGGAGGAGGAGGAGGAGGAGGAGGATCCTTATCGCGCATCCTGATTCTGCGATTTGACTGTACCCTTCTCGTCGAGTGCACCAGCAGGGGCTGGGCTCGCCTTCGGCCGCAGATGCCCGCCGAGCTCCCCGGTCCGACGCCCGGCCACGGGGTGCGAGGCCCGCCGCAGGCCCGCGGCCCAGGCAGGGCAGGCACCGATCGGCGAGAGCCATCGACGGCTGCACGGCGCAAATCCCAGACCCATTCGTGTTTTTCTTTTTTTTCTCTCTCTCTCGCTCTTTCTCTCTCTCTCTCTCTCTCTCTCTCTTTGATCTAAGCACAAGCCTCAACGGACAGTTTCACCACATGTTCGGCTTCGGGGGGCCCTCGTGGAGCCCCGGGACCGTCAAAGAACGACTGAGGACGGAAAGAGAGTCCCGGGGGATGGGTCGAGACTTTCCTGCAGCACGCGCAGATCAGGACGTCGGGGGTCCGGGAGACGCGGTGGGCCTCGGGCAGAGATGCCCCCACGACAGGTCCGAGGAGGGCGGAGGTGGGACAGCGGCAGTTGGCCTTTTTGGAGGGGGGGGGGCTTGTCGCCACGGCTGGGCGCAGCGCGGGAAGCGGGTGCGCCTGGACCCCGGGGAGGGCCGCGGTGGGAGGGGCCGGTGTCTCAGCGCACCCTGCTCCGGAGAGGAGGCACGTCGGCACGCGTGCTGGCCCTCTCCTTCCACTGCTGGCCAGGGCGGCGGACGGGAGGCGGGCAGAGAGGGGGCAGGCAGGCCGGCGAGGGCGGCGGGGGGCGGGGGGCGGTGCAGGCGGTGGCCCAGTACCTGGCCGCCACCACGAGTGGCAGCACGCAGGAGCGGGGCTTCGCTCCCTCGTCCCTGGCAGCCTCGCCGCCCCCACCCGCGCAGGAAGGAGCGGCACAGGGACGGCCCGCCCTTCGGAGCCCTCGCCTCCACGCACACATGCTCCAGCAGTGGCGCAGCGTCCTGGCTTGCCTATAGGCCTACCAAACAATGTGCTAAGAACCTTTTGCGGTTTCCACGACATGTTCTCAGAACATTTCTGGTTGAGGCTGTCTTGTTTTAATACATCGGGCCTATGTTCTAAGAATTTGTTTAGTTCTTAGAACTTTTTTGGGTGCCAAGAACATTTCGTGGTAGGCCTTTTGGAATGCCGGGGCGGTCGGTCCCTGTTCAGTTTGCGTGCGACACGCATGCTTTGGTCTGGCACCGCTGCCTTCTCGTCGTGCGACCCGCGGGTAGTTGCTAACAGGCTACGGCGCACGGCAGTGGAGGTCCAGAGGTCTGAAAGCTTGTCTTGTGCATCATCGAAGACGCCTGCGGCGAGTCACCGCCGCTCCCTGCCTTTTTTGTTGACCGCCTATGTGGCCGAACGTTGTGGCCGTTGCTCGGCCAAGCTGTCCGACTATGTGTTCCCCCAGCCGTTGTGGAAACCCTTCGGTGAACATGTGGGGGACGAAAAAGAAGAGGAGGAGGAGGAGGTAGAGGAAAAAGGAGGAGGCCAGGGAGCCGCCAGGGGGTACTGTACGGCTTCCGTTCGCGCCAGAATGGCGGGGATGTCTCGAGCGGCTTGCCTGTTTACCAGCTCAGCATCCTCCGCTTTCGGAGCAGATTTGGAGCATGTCTCGTGCGAGGCGCTGGCTTTTGCACCCCAGGGGGCCCACATTGCGAGGACGCCTCGAACGCGTTGCCGGTTTTGCCGGCCAGGCTCGTGGGCACGGATCCCCCTGAGGATGCCACAGGAGGCGCAAGCAGGCTCCCTTGGCATCGCTCGGACGTGTGCATTTTTTTCTCGGCGAGGACCTTGGAGGAGCATCCTCGACCATTTGGCAAAAAAAACACGCACGAAACCGAAACAAACACAGGAAATGGACGTCCGAGCGATGGCCAGCTCCAGGAGGACCCAGGAGGCCACAGGTAGGGGGTCACGTGCGAACCTTACCCCTACCCCCCACGATTTCTGAGGGGTGGGGTGGGGTTCACTTCGCTCGGAAGCTCCCGAGCGAAGTGAACCGCACCCGCCCCCTCAGAAATCGTGGGGGGCAGGAGCAGGGTTCGCATGTGGCCCCCTAAGACAGGAGGTCCCAGGAGGGAGGCGCCAGGCGGCCACAGGAAACCGCAGGAGGCCCCTGGAGGCCACAGGAGGCACCGAGAGGCCCCAGGAGGCTCCAGGAGGCCCTGGAAAGCACCAGGAGGCACCAGGAGGCCGCAGGACGCCACAGGAGGCCACAGGAAGCGACGGGAGGCAACAGAAGGCTCTGGAAGGCTCCAGGAAAAGCCACGAAGCCCCATGGGCAGGAGGCCTCAGAAGGCCACAGGACTGGCTCCAATCCCGATTGTTTCACGTGTGTTCCTATCGATTGTCTTTCTCCAGTGTATCCGTCCCTAAGTGTTTTATGCACTTTCCTATAGATTGGGCCTGCTCTGGGGCACGAGTCCTGGGTGCTTGACGTGTGTTCCTGTAGAGTGCCTGTCACACCTGTGGCTTCAATCGGAAGTGTTCTACGTCTGTTCCTATGGATTGGGCCTTTCCTGGGGCACGAATTCTTCCCAGGAGGCCCCAGGATGCTTCAGGAGGGTCATGGAGGCCCCAGGATGCCACACGAGGCTCCAGGAGGCTTCAGGAGGCCACAGGAAGCCCCAAGAGGCCCCAGGCCAAGAGGCTCCAGGAGGCACCAGGAAGCCCCAGGAGGTTTCAAGAGGCCCAAGGAGGCTCCACGCTCATGCGCAGAGGCGCACTCTTCTGGTCGCCCCAACATGGCGGGGACGTCTCGAGCGGTGTGCCTGTTTCAAGACCCAACATCATCCGCTTTCGGAGCAGATTTGGAGGATGTCTCGAGCGAGGCGCGGATTTCAGCACCTCCAAGGGGGAGCCGCCAGGGGATATTGCATTCCTCCGTTCGCGCCAATATGGCGGGGATGTCTCGAGCGGTTTGCCCGTTTTGGTGCCCAATATCCTCCGCTTTCGGAGCAGATTTAGAGGAGGTCTCGAGCGAGGCGCTCAGTTTCGTCCCCAAGGGGGAGCCGCCAGGGGGTATTGCACTCCTCCGTTCGCGCCAACATGTCGGGGATTTCTTGAGCAGGGTGCCGGTTTTGGTGCTCAACATTCTCCGCTTTCGGAGAAGATTTGGAGGATGTCTCGAGCGAGGCGCTCAGTTTCGCCCCCAAGGGGGGGGAGCGAGGGGGGACAGATTTTGAGGATGTCTCGAGCGGTTTGCATATTTTGTTGGTCGGACTCGTGCGCACGGATCCTCTTCAGGATACCACAGGAGGCTCCAGCAGGCTCCAGGAGGCTCCAGGAGGCCACAGTAAGTACCAGGAGGTATCCGGATGCCACAGGAAGCAACAGGAAGCCTCAGGAGGCCACAGTAGGCCCCAGGAGGCCCCAAGCAAATCCAGGAGGCCCCAAGAGGCCCCAGGAGCAGGAGGCATCAGAAGGCCACAGGAGTGGCTCCAATCCCATGTGTTTACGTATGCTCCTATAGATTGGGCCTCACCTGAAGCACGAATCCTTGGTGTGTTACGTATGTTTCTATGGATTGTCGTTCTCCTGCGTACGGTGGGGGCGTTGGTTAAGGAATGGGCCCACGAGGCGTCAGACCCTGGAGGACTCCTTATCCGATGAGGGAGGCGGTGATATCCATGGCCACTCCGCGATTGAAGTTCCATTGGCTTACAGACCCTGGATTCCTTATCGAAGGTTTCCTTTTCCAATGTCCCCCCGTATCCAGTCCTATCGTGTACGCATGTTCCTATAGATGGCCCCCCCCCATGTGCACACGAGTCTTTGGTGTGTTACGTTTGCTGCTATAGATTGCCCTTCTCCTGCGGCTCAACTCCGCAGTGTTTTATGTACGTCTGTTCCTATGTATTGGGCCTCTCCTGGGGCACGAATCCTCCCCAGGAGACCCCAGGAGGCTCTAGGAGGCCCCAGGAGACCACACGAACCCCCAGGAGGCCTCAGGAGGCCACAGGAAGCCCCAACAGACCCCATGAGGCCCTAAGGTGCTCCAGGAGGCCCCAGGAAGCCCCAGGCGGTTGCAAGAGGCCCCAGGAGGCCTCAGGCTCATGTGCAGATACGCGCTCGTACTACTCAGACTCATTCACACTCCAACTCATCCACAGTTCGATTTACTCCCAGACCGTCACTACTCAAGCCCGCTTATGTTCGAAAGTTCTGGCACCTGGAGACTCACGGCGGACAGTTCCATGCAAATAGATGCACATGTGGGGAGTTCCACGCAGTGAATAGCTTATGTATGGTATGACATGTATGGTATCCGCGCTATGATACGGTATGCTATCTTATGCTATGGCATGCCATGGTTTGCATTGGTGTTGTATGTGTTGTTGCTGCGATGATGATGCTGATGATGATGCTGATGATGATGGTGGTGATGGTGGTGGTGACGGTGGTGATGATGATGATGATGATGATGATGATGATGATGATGGCGAAGCCAATTCTGAGGATGCTTCGAGCGAGGCGCGAGTTTCAGCATCCCCAAGGGGAGCCGCCAGGGGGTATTGCACTCATCCGTTCGCGCCAACATGGCGGGGATGTCTCGAGCGGCTTGCAAGGTTTGGTGCCCAGCATCAACTGCTGCTGGGGAAGACTTGGAGGATGTGTTTAGCGAGGCGCCCATGCTCGCCCCCAAGGGGGAGCCGCCAGGGGGTATTGCACTCACCCGTTCGCGCCAAAGTGGCGCGACTGTCTCGAGCGAGTTGCGCGTTTGGGTTCCCAACATTTTCAGCTCTCGGAGCAGATTTGGAGGAGGTCTCGAGCGAGGCGCTCATCTTCGCCCCCAAGGGGACCAGATGTTGAGGATGTCTCGAGCGGATTGCATATGTTGCTGGCCAGAGTCGTGGGCACGGATCCGTCCCAGGAGGCCACAGGATGTTCTTGCAGGCGCCAGGAGGCCACAGGGGGCACCATGAGGTATCAAGATGCTACAGGAGGCCGCATGAGGCCACAGGATATTCCAAGGGGCACCAGCAGGCATCAGAAGGCCACGGGAATGGCTCCAACCCGATGTATTTACGTATGATCCTATAGATCGGGCCTCCCCTGGAGCACGACTCCGTAGTGTTTTATTATGTTTCCATGTGTTGGTTTTCTCCTGCGTATCCACTTCTAAGTGTTGTACGTATGTTCCTGTAGAGTTGGCCTTCCATATGTGCACGCGTCCGCAGTGGTTTACGTGTGTTCCTAGATATCTGTGTATATGCATGTATATAGATGTATATATATATATGTATATAAATATATATATATATATATATATATATATATATATGGGTTGCCCTTCTCATGCGGTTCCACTAGGCAGTGTTTTATGCACGTCTGTTCCTAAAGATTTGGCCCCTCCTTGGGAACGAATCCTCCCCAGGACACCCCAGGATGCTTCAGGAAGCCCCAGGAGGCCACACGAGGCCCCAGGAGGCTTCAGCAAGCTACAGGAAGCCCCAAGAGGCCCCAGAAGACCCTAAGGGGCCCCAAGAGGCCCCGGGAAGCACCAGGAGGCCCCAGGAGGCCCCAGGCTCATGCGCAGAGACGCGCTCGTATTGGGGAGGCTCATTCACACTCCAACTCATCCACAGTTAGATTCACTCTCAGACCTTCACGACTCAAGCCCGTTTATATTCGAAAGTCTTGCGCCTAGACAATCACGGCGGACAGGTCCATGCTAATAGATGCACGTATGGGGAACTCCATGCAGTAAATACGTGTTCCGACCGAGCCAACTTCCATCACGCACACACACTTCCTTCCTCTTCCTCCTTCTCATGTTCTGCCATGCTATGTTATGCTGTGTTGCGTACTGTTAGAAAAGTA